AATATCATTATAATCCCGAATGTTCCTAATCGCTAATAATATCTAGTGAAAAGCCATCCACTCTGGAATGCCTCAGCCTTCAGTTTGTGTAAATTCCAAAAGTTGTGTAAATCATCTGCGTGTGTACTCAACAATAAGCTCTTAAGTGCGAGGACCATGTTTCTCTGATGAGCACATGTGATTCTCAGACCATGAGGTACTTTACCACAACCTTTTCTATGCCAGTTGATGGAGCTTACGCACGTGGGGAGTATGCCGAAGCCCATAAAGCGATCACCTTGGGATTCACTCAAGCTCTGAAATTGCTGCAGTATTTGATTAGTATGGTACTAATGTGTACCTGTTGATTGCAGAGCAAAGATTGCAAACTGTCCAGTTGCGTCTCCAGGCACCCTTGCCTGTGCCCATGTTGGACAGAAGCATCAATCACTTGGCACAGACTCTGAGTGCGAGCAGAAAGAAAGGAAGGAAAGTTACTCACCCCTGTGAAAAAGTTCACTTAATTGTTGTAATGTCCACAGTTTACTGGGCATCGTTACACACACTGTTATAGGAAACCGGTTTTTAGCGAGCGAGCAACACTTTTATATATTGTATATTTAGTATTTCTGTTAACACAAATTATCCCACGTTACACAATTCATAATAAGACATGTTCCACTGTGCTCATGCTGCAGCCAGATAACCCACCTTGCTAATGATATAGTGCTCGTTGTTTTCTTGTACAGGGACAAGATGGGCAAGGAATGAGTTTAGGGAATTTCTGCTCCTCCAGTTTATCACTGGCCATCAGGTGGCACATAGAGCCCACTGCTCAGGCTAGGGTGTCGCTCAACGAACTCGCGAACACACAGGAAGACAGAACCAGGCTCTGCCATGACTGAGCCACATGTTCAGAACGTGGACCCAGATTCACTAACTTGTTAACATAAACCTAGCTCGCACGGTTGTGTGGTAGGGAACAGACAGAAATAGTCGCAGCCAAACAGGGCTCTATTCACGCTTTCTGCTTACACCACTGAAAAGATACCACAACTTGCACTTTTGTGACTCCGGACTTCCATCACAGGTAGTGTGGAACAGCAAGACTTCATTTTTCAGGTGGAAACAATGTACAATTGACACTACTAAAAAAAGAAATAGTGTATAAAGAACCAAAAGTTTTATTTTAGGAACGGTAAGAATTTACGAGGGATATATTGATTGTACTCTCAAAAAACCCAGTCGGCACTTTAACCTTAATTAGTACTAATAGTTTCCTCATCCTGCCTTTCTGTTGATGCTGAGCTACGAAGACCTCTTACTGCTGAGTTAAATTATGCTGTTGTTTTCTATGTCTCAGGTCACTATCATATATAGACCGACGACAGAGTGACTGTAGCACAGATTTCATTACACAGGGAGCACACATAGTAAAGAGACTTACTAGCTCTGCCTGTATAGATTAACACAATGCTCGATCGTAGACACACACGCTATTGCCAGGATGCTAGTGGTGTTACCATGTTGTTGTCAGTCAGATGGGAATCAGAAAACATGATCTATGATATCACATGAATTGAATAATCATTATTTAATTTAGTGCATTAAATAGATCGAATAGTCACCGACCTATTTATGAGTGAAATAATTAGAGCTCCAGCAAGGAGTCGTAGTAATCGAGGTATGTGGAGGATATTAGTAGTATACCAACTACCTTTAAGCCAAAAACTACTGTCTTGTAATGATAAATATAATACATGAACATGCAATCGCACGCTTCCTAATTAACACATTTGAACTTATGCGCATTGACCCGTCAGTGCTGTGTATTACTTTTTTTTCTCGCGTGGCATATAGGGAGGGATTTTTTCTTGTGTAGTTTTATAATGCCTTTCATCCCTCATTGTGCGGCCTAAATCTTTTTTTTTTCTTTTTTTTTTTTAAGACTTGCAGTGCTTTATGCTCGCTATAGGGACTGCCATCCCAGTTGGAACCATCATGTATTCTACTTCCACTCTTAACTCAAAACAGTATGATGCGTGATAATCTATGTAGATATAATCGGCTTCCTTTATACAATGAGCCTGCTCAAGTTTATATGTCGACTATGAATTTATGAGGGCTCAGGAGGTGTAGAAAAAATCCATTTGATGCAAGCACATACTCCAAGTTAATACTGTGCAATCAACATCATATACAGGAATGAATAATTGGACAATTATTATAGTATAGTTTATATATCTAATGGAATATGTCATCCTATGAAAAAACCTCAACAGTATAATATGATTACATAGACGATTTATCTATTATCTCTTCCACATTGTAACAAGTGACTTATGAATGTTGGTTGAGTTGTTTCTTATGCTTATATCTAATAATGCGATTCTATGCATAAATGATCGCAATTATTCACGGAGGAAACTTTAACAGAGCGTTGAATAATTCAAGTTAAAAGATAGCGCGTTATTTAGAAAATCATAACTAACTTATATGTGTAACTGAGCGATGATAATTGTCTGGGTCTGGGAAAAGAATGGTGACCAGCCGCCACCCCCCCCTCAAGCGACCCCCAGGCGGAAAACCCAACGTTGGCAACTTTTTGGGAACTGAACCGTCCGGTAATTGGAATATGGAAGTTCGCGAGAACGAGCCGAAAACACGAAGGGCTTTACGGCCAATTTCCACATAAACCGCCCACGCCGCCCTCAATAACGGTTAAGTGTTTATAATTCTCTGGTATTACCCACCTCGGTAGATATTGCTCCACACAAAAAAAGTTGCCCGGCGTAAAAAGGCATCAGCAGCGGTAGAAGAGGGGGAGGAGGGTGCGCAAGTGAGGTTTTTTTTAACGACATGTTTCGTGAATATATCACGTCCCCAGAGCTCCCCTACAGCTCTGGGACGTGGTAATTATCACAACATGTCGTAAAAAAAACTCCACTTTGGGCACCTCCTCCCCCTTTTCTAACCGCTGGCATTGATGTGCCGTTTTTGTTGACGCCGGGCAACTTTTTTGTGACAATATCTACCGGGTGGGGTAATACCAGAGAATTTATACACTAAAACCGTTATTGAGGCGGCGTGTGCGTTTATGTGGAATTGCCGTAAAGCCGTTGTGTTTCTCGCTCCGTTCTCGCGATACTTTCTATTTCCAATGTTTACCGGGACGGTAAGTCCCCAAGAGTTGCAAAGGTTGGTTTTCCGCCTGGGGGTGCTTGAGGGGGGTGCGGGGTCACATTTTCAACAGAACAGGGTCATGTTAACCATCAACAAATGATTTCCCTAAAACGGGTTCGTATGTTTATTAAGCTGAAAAAGTTGTTAAAGTTCCCCTTTAACTAACCGATATAAGCATGACACTTCACCAATAGATCACTTACATGAAGATAAGTAATATTTATTTAATATATAAAATGTATTATTATTATTTGATCACACGTTTTCTTGAGTTGTTTGTTCAAATATGAAAATGAGGCATTGTCTACTTTAAGATGCACTAATTTGCAAGGTTTTCCTGAACAGAAATCTGAACATTGGATAAAGTCAAATTCTTGTTTCATTTTGTTCACATAGAGTCAGAGGTTTTTATGGAGGTAATTTTGTATATATCCCTTTTTATCACTTAATAAATCAGAAACTACTGCCAGCTGCAATAAAAGAAATCTATTTTCTTCATGTTTTTAGTAATTTTTGATATAAATCAGATTATGAATCATAATGAACAAAGCCCTCTGTGAAAACCTTCAGAATATAGATAGGAATAAAACTGGAAGGTTTGGTATAAGTGCTGCAGAAGTGCAGATTTATGGCTCAGAGTGTGAGAAAAAAGCTTTGCATACATTTTGCAAGACACTACAGGTGAATATGGTAAAGATAGTAACTAATGGATATCACCATGAAACCTCCCCAGTTGATGACTTACATTAAGACAGTTATTTCTTCCATTACAAGTTTTCTGAAGTTGTATGTTTAAATAATGCATCATGCAAATGATGCATTATCAATGCTACCTTTTGGTGAAATCTAAACTAAAGTGTAGTAAAACTAACTCATGTGTACACATGTATTTTGGGTGTTATGACAAAAGGCATCTTACTGGCCAGACAACATTATATCACCTCAATCCTGCTTCTTTCATTGGCTACCTGTTTATTATTTTCACTTTTAAAGCACATCTGGCTGTTCTAAAGTTGAGGTTTAAATCTAAAGGTGACCATGCCTTTGCCATCAGGACCCCTTGGCTTAGGAACAACCTGCCTGAGGAGATAAGGTTTCAAAGAGTCAGTGACTTCTTACAGTAAAATCACTTCTTAAACCCCATTTTTATAGACTCATCTTTATGTGATGTCGTCTTTTTTTACTTTATTCAATCCATTTTATTTTATGGCTTCTATTATGCTCTTATGTATCTTGGTATTCATTGATTTTATTTTGTGTATCACAGCTATCGTTTTGCTTTGTCTGTCAAAGCACTTTGTTAACTCTGTTTTAAAAGGTGCTATATAAATAAAGCTATTATAATTATTATAAAATAGGCAAAATCTGAAACATGACCAGTGCATAAAAAAATTAAGTGTCCTGCTTTACTATTACCATCACCTACTCTATCTGAAGGGCTGGATCATGGAGTAATCTGTGAACATTCCCGAATTGCAATAATGGGAATTATACAGCACAAACGCGACCTGAACATGTGAACCGACAGATTACACCAACATTAATAGTTTCATCTAATGGCCTATAAGAAAACATATTTCCCAAAATGTCAGAGAATCCCTTCAAACAATAAAACTGTTTGTCCAGTTTAGTGGTTGATTGCCCCATTGTCCACCTGATGGTAGTCACAAGTTACCCATATTATACCTTAATATTGTAGCTTTACCACATCACACCTTCTGTCGAACCAATAACCACTGAGGTCTCTCTGAACTGCAAACTCTCCAAACTAAAATCAATGCGTAAAAGCAGCTTTATTGCCCTTTCTCGTCATGACAGAGACATTATATGGTACTCGCCTTGTTTTCCTGGGCTGGGGGAGCTCCTGTTGGTTTTGAGCAGTTTCAAACAGGATACTTCATCTTGGAGTAAGATGTAGTTTGGGTCGCATTCAGGAGGAATAGCTTCCGTCTGCAAACACATTCAAAGAGCTGTAACAGGTGCGTCCAAGAGGTGAGAAATACTTTTATACTATAAATACTGCTGTCATAAAAGAAGGCAGACTCACGTGGGGACAGCACTGTAGAAGAAGAGGAATGAGCGCTATTTCTGCTGGTATCCACATGGAGATGGCACTGATAACTCCACCTAACAATAGAATATATCAAAGCGGAGTAATGAAGTGAACTGACACAGCGCTCTGGGGATAAAGCGCATTCTCAGTCACAGAGGATCCAAGGAGCGACTACTGCACACACACCTAACAAAGAGAGAAACTGCACTGTGCCTCAGTCGGTCGGCGGTTTATGCAGGGACACTGCAGCCCTGACACACACTCCATGTAACACCGCTGCCTGCCTGCTGTCTGCCCTCCTTCCTCCTGAAGGACACCCAGAGCGCGATTGTGATGTTGTGGAAACATTACCACTGAAGTCTGTATGAGCAGCCAACACAACACACTGTCAACTTCGTGTTATGAAATGTCTGTTTGGTTCCAATAAGTTGGATGAATTAAATTCTTACTGAAAATTCCTACTGAGTAACTAAATGAACTGCTAAGCTTGTAACCTTCCTGTATCTTAGCGTAGACCTAACTCCAACATGCTGTCTGTGTAGCAGCTATAGCCTGTATTTGCATAATATAGCTACTTTGAGACAGTATGGTATAATGTAATCCAAACAGCACCAAAACACAGACCAGGATTTACAATAGGGGTGACCCAGCAAGGTCTCTATAGACAAAAAAAACAACTTTAATTTTCTAGTGCGCATGGAAATGGAACTAATGCATAAAGGAAATAGTTAATATAGCGGCCATAAATGTGGAAAAATCTCATGCCCCCAGAGTGGGTTTGTGATAAGCACTGAATGTTTACAACATTTGGCTCTGCTCCTGCACACTACAGGCGTGCCAGTAGTTCCTCATGTGGGGCTGACTGGTTTGGACACAAGCGCATCCTTGCACCTCTGTCATCATCGTCTTTTAAGTTGATGTGGTGAACTTGTTAGCAAACAGTTGCTTTATACATCTTGTCGTTACAGAGTTACGGAACATTGTTATTCAGCTGTCCAATATTCATTCTCTTTTAGCTCTGTTTTGGTCTACCAACTCCAGCAGGTAGTGTATGGAGGGTTTTTAGAGCTTTTTCACTGAAAATGCTGCCTGTTGTGGCTGAGTCCGATTGAACCAAAACAGTAATGTTAGACATTTTAGGCCAGACAGCTAAACAATGAGCAGAGTCCACACAAGGCTCTGTTAAGCAGAGTGGAGCTGCAATGTAATGTTATGTTCATCATAGTGATGAACATTACATTACATTTTGTCATTGTCACTTGACACATTTACATTATATAAATATTGATCGTAGCTGCTTTAATGTGGCATGGAAGATTCATGTCCTGATGAAAAACAAACAAAGTTATTAAATTATCACAATAATTACATAAATAAAAAGTAAGAGCTAACTAATGTGTATTTATATTTCATTTTATTTTTTTGTTTGATTTATTTTTATTAAGGCATTTTATATCTTCCATAAACAACTAATTATGAAGTGTTTCTTTCCATTTTTGAACCACATATGTTTCCCCCCAACCCCCTATCCCACAGGTTCAGGTTTCTTTTCTTGTGTGAAAATAAATGACCTGCAAACAAAAACACTGGTAAATCATGCAGCTGATGTTGCACGTACAACCACAATGTTTTAATGTGTTGTGAACAGGCTGTTGAATGTGTCAACACAACGTCTTCCTGAATCTAAATTGTCTCCTTGAAAACCTCCTTGTCAGAATTTTGTATTTGTATTTTTACATACTTTACATACTAAGGCGTTTTATATTTTTGTTTTGAAAAATTCAGTATAGTCTTGTTCTATTAGCTCTTTGGTTGTTTTAACTGCATACTTTTCTAATGCAGGACAAGGCTGTTTATCAAA